ACCGGATCAAAAAAGACTCTTCTTTGAGCGCCCGATAGTGCTCCAACTCCTCGCGCATCGACTTCACCTGTGCCATCAAGTCCGCCAGCTCGGAACCTTCCGATTTCGCTGAAGTGGTGCTTGTACTCGCCGAGGATGAAGCGACGGGGGCACTTGTCGCCGCCTGGGTGGAACCTGAGGCAACCGTAGCCCGCGCGTCAGCGCGTTTTGTGTAAGGCTTGTCCTTACAATTGGGGCACTCGAAGTGTCGGTACCCTTGCTTCCCACAGCCGAAACAACTGCCAGGGAAGTTTCCTTTTCTGATGGCCGCATTGATGATGGCCGAAGCTCCATGTGACTGGGGTGCACCACCGCGTGCCCCTCCGCGTCCTCGACCTCAAGCCGAGAAAAAGTTGTTTAACTCGGGCCGCCGGGCCCGGCTGATGTCGAGGATCTGCTCGACCTCAGTGGCGCGCTTCTCAGCTTCTTGCCACGTGGTGAAGGTCTCGAGCTCGATCTTGCGGTAGACGTGGGAGGGGATGCCGCTTAGGTACTTGTTGCGTAGCTCCAGGTCCCCATACCCAGAGCAATCCGCCGGACCCTTGAACAGCGCGGAGAATTCCGCAGCGGTGCGTTTTTCACGGACCGACTTGTCCACGCAGAGCTTTGCTAGCTCCACTTGTGCTGCTGCCTCGTCGTCGAGATTGCCGAAGCGGGCTTTGAAGGCAGCAGTAAAGGCCGCTTCGTTCCTGAAGGGGGTCGTGGCCCCTTGTATCCCCATTTGTACCGATGCGAGCTGGGAAAAGTAGGGAGTAGCCCAGGCGCGGGCGTCGCCGTTGAGTAAGCTCATCGCAACCTGTACTTTGAGCTCGATGGTTGTCAACAACGTGTTGACTAACCAATAGATGCGGAGCTGCGCCAGGAACCTGTCGCACTCGATGACGGTTTTCCCATCATATCGGAGGGGGAGGAGAAGCTTCAGGGTCTCCTTGTCAGGGGCGTTCGTGGGAGAAGACATTATCGGCGCCGGGGGGGACGGAGGACGGTGCGGGGGCGGAGGCAGCTGTGGTGGCCCTCCGCTGGTCGGACTTCGAGGGGAGCGAGTGCACGAGCGGCCTCTCGGCGGAGACGGCGGTGAAGGCGCCGGAGGAAGTTCGGAGGCGGGGTCACGTATGTCAGGGACTGCTGACGTGGAGGCGAGCGCTGTCGGCGAGGCGGGCCGAGCAGAATCCGCGGGCTCAGGCTCCGAGACTCCTTCTTCACTCGCACTCTCTTCAGGCTCAGGCTCTGGTGCAGGGTCTGGAGGGAGATCTCCTCGTGCTTGACTTGGACCAGCGACAGTTTGGGGAAGGCGGGAGCTAGGGGAGACAGGGCGAGAGTGCCGCGAGGCAGATCGAGATGCGAGGGTGCTTCGAGGACCGAGCGGGTGTTGCGCCCTTCGGATCGCTTTGTAGCGCGGGTAATCTTGTTCGATCGATCGAGGTGTCCGATTTGGGCACGGTTGTTGCTCGCAGATGTAGATGACAGTCTCAGGGCCATCTGGGATGTAGGTGTCGACGAGGTCCTGAGAGTCGAAGGCGTGAACTTGGCCTTGACAGGCAGCCACAATGGAGGGGGGGAGGACGGGGAGGTGCGCGTTGATAGGCGCCAAGCCCCTCTGGGCCCCGATACACCTCGTTTCGGCAGTCGCATCCCGCCAGGAACTTCGACTCAGTCTCCCAACACTTCGATTTCGCCTTCGACACTCTTCGACATCTTCGACGGTGTGCGACACTTGCTCGAAGCTCGGCACGGTCGTCCCGATGCCTCGCGCGTAGATCTCGGGACATCTTCCGCATTCGGCGAACAATAGGGCCACTTGACGCCGCTCGACCAAGCGCGCGCTTCGCTCCAAGCCACACCGAAGTAGCCGGTCTTTCCCGATTAGGTATCGAACCTCGCGGCATGCCTTCGACGACGGACACCGGTCCGAAGTGTCTCGCATGTTTCTCTTCATCTCCGCGTTCGGCATGACGTCACTCTACCGATGGACTTGATATGTGCCCCTCGGTGAGGCAGCTTCTTGAGGAACAATGCAAAGCCCCTTGTACCAGTGTGCCACTCTCGATAGTCGTAGCGTCCTGTGTAGTATAAAATCTGTTGTACTTCTCTCCAAAAATACAAGATCCGGTTCCCCCCTCGAGTTCAGAGCTCATAAGTCGAGTTCGCCCCGCGTCTAAGCCTCTAACTGCGTCACTTCGTTCCTCGCTGCGTAACCTCGAAACCTCGTCCACTGCGTTTACTCGTCGATACCGTCTCGACGAACCCTTCGACTTCGACTATTGTCGAAGAAACTGCGAACCGTGCCATAGCTAAGTCCCCCCTATCGAGTCGTGTCCCTTCCTTCTACGATACATCGAAGAGCTCTGCCGAGCTTCGATCCTCTCCACTAACCATCCACAGCCTCCGAGTAGCTTCGACGACGTGTCGAAGCCACCTCGTACCTTCCCCGTTGTTCGTAGCCTTTTCCAAGGGCGTTTCTCGTGTTCACTCGAACCGCGGGACACCTTGCTGCTAACTCCCCTCTCACTAAGACTATAATCCGTCTCTCTAGTCCCTTTAGGTCGCACCCAGGTTAGGGGTTAGGGTTTCGTAGGTCGTATCAGCGTACTAAAAATGGCCGTACTAAACTAGCTTACGCTACGGCGCCCGAGAAGACCCTGAGGTTCGCAGTTCACGTGGGGCCCAGTACTGCTTTTGGCTAGTATGCAGCAGGAACCTAGACCACGCGTCCGTGAGGACAAGCACCGCCCACTGAAGTGCAGGTGCTGAAGAGTTCGTTCCTCTAGGGGTGGCGATGTATGGTAGGGCTATCTACGTATCGTAGAGTATCGTAGGGGTGCGCACCACCCGACCTGTGGGAAAGGAAAGTGAGTTTTTGGGGAGTCCCGAGAGAACGTCGGCAGCTTGTGGAGTTTCGACCTAATGTCGTGACTTGGGGTCAAGCGACTGGGGAAAACCTAAAGCTGGGGACGTCCGACTGATTCTCACCGAAGCAATGGTGAGCGAAGCTCAAACCTAAGGCTAGGGACAAGATAATATATTAGTTAGGTAAGGAAAAGGAATACAACTGAAGGCTTACTGACCTAGGGACAAGAGGTCGAAACTGAGGTCCCTAGAGCAGCAGAGGCTGGCTTATATACAGGGGAAGTTTAGGGGAGGCTGTGCGTACTGGTCCGTGCACAGCTGGTCTGTGCGCAGCATGCTGATGCAGCCCCAGGGGCTGGTGAGTCAGAGCGGCTATGTCAGTGGAGCCCGAGCTGTGCCATGCACTGCCGTCCCATCTAATCCAATTGTATAGTAGATAAGGACTTGTCCGTTCGAGCATGTAGTACAGAGGTCGCGGGTTCGAGCCCGCAAAAAGGAAAAAATTAAAAACGGCTAGACGCCGTACCAACTCGTGACAATACGATCAGTTCGTTCTGAACATTTCTGATCAAATCAAAACCACGTGGACCACATGGACCATGGTGTTGGATCACATGGCAGATTGCCATATTGAGTGACCCCATTAGCTGCCTCGCTGCTGTAGACACGCGATTTCTACAGAGACCTATGTAGACCTACATAGATCGCGCTATCTACAGAGTACTATATAGATTACGGGTTTCTACAGAGTGCTATGTAGAAACAAGGTTTCTACCAAAAGAAAACATCATTTGCAGATGTTGACTCTTGATGATGGCAGATGCTACCTGTGGGAGCAACTCATAATCGCCAGCTTGTTTGTCACAGTACCTTGGAAGGTAGCGCAATCCATCGCAGTGCACGTCCCATTCTGGGTATGCTCAGAATCCTAGCAGGCCCTCATGTGGAGACTTATAGACTACATATCAGATGACCAACTACTGATTGAACATTTTACTTCGTGACCCCCATCTGTGTGCGATGAGCGCATCAAGAAACGCGCCCCCCCTGGGCTAATTAGAGCTATTTTATATATATTAGCAATATATTTGTATATAATTCTGAGCTATTGACCTACTCATGCTATTGTCGCACTACTCTGCCTGTATATAATCTCAATCTATCTTGAAAATCATGCGTCTCGCTCCACCTGAGGATCCACCCCCAGCGGACCTGAGAGTCCACGAATGCACTCGATTCAAAGGACTTAGCATCCCAGCACAAAGCGGATCAAACAAGTACAAACAGGAGAGATCTGCGGCTGGCATCACATCGACATTTTCCAGTCCTGGTTTCTCAGTCAGTCTTTGCTCACAGGCGTACATGTCCCGCTACCTATCTACTGACCATCTTGTCTTTTTCATGTCTCTAGCAGCTCACCCACTGTGCCTACATCCAACCACCACCACCAGTGCTTCACAGCAGGGACTGGGCTGCGAATTGTCTGCATCGATCAGCCTCACAGTGCCCATGTTGCCAAACCATGCCACGCGCACAACAGGGCAGCAACAGATCATGTTTGTGCATACCGCCTCTGTCCCATGCTGTCTCACTTGTTCTGTTGCCAGCCGTCCCATCTTGTCCCCTTACACAACATCCCATGCACTGTGATGCATGCACTTCAACCACATAGACCATTCGTGGACGCCATCCCCGGTCACTATCTACTCACATTCACATCCTGCTATCTAGTTGTTAGCCATCTCACACCACCCGTGTTCCTTCCTTCCACCCTGCATGCCCCACTCCCAGCCTGATGTCCCACCATCTAGACAATGACCCCGCCGCAGCGCATCATCTGCATCATCGTAACATCAGGATGACTTGTGCATGTTACAAGTTGGTACAGTGTCTAGCTGTTTTTTAATTTTTCCTTTTTGCGGGCTCGAACCCGCGACCTCTGTACTACATGCTCGAACGGACAAGTCCTTATCTACTGTACAATTAGATTAGATGGGACGGCAGTGCGCGGCACAGCTCAGGCTCCGCTGACACAGCCGCTCTGACTCACCAGCCCCTGGGGCCGCGTCACCATGCTGTACATGGACCAGCTGCGCACGGACCAGCGCGCACAGCCTGCCCTCATCTCCACCTGTATATAAGCCAGCCTCTGCTGCCCTAGGGACCTCAGTTTCGACCTCTTGTCCCTAGGTCAGTAAGCCTCTCATGTATTCCTTTTCTTACTTAACTAACTAATACATTTCTTGTCCCTAGCCTTAGGTTTGAGCATCGCTCACCATCGTTTCGGTGAGAATCAGTCGGACGCCCCCAGCTTTTAGGTCTTCCTCAGTCGCTTGACCTCAAGTCGCGACATTAGGTCGAAACTCCCCATAGCTGCCGGCGTCCCATCGGGACTCCCACAAACTCACATTCATTTCCTATAGGTTGGGTGGTGCGCACCCTTACTGTACCCTACGATACGTAGATAAGCGTACTATACATCGCCACCACTAAGGGAACAAACTTTTCAGTACCTGCAATTCAGTGGGCGGTACTTGTCCTCACGGACGTGTGGACTAGGTTCCTGCTGCATACTAGCCAAAAGCAGTACTGGGCCCCACGTGAATTGCGAACCCTAGTGTGACCTCGGGCGCCATAGGTGTAAGCTAGCTTATACAGCCTTTCATAGCACGCACACCTCCCCTTCCTCCCTTCCATCATGGCTGCGTGTCAAGGCCTTGTTCACGCCTTCGACTCCAAGGACCTCGTCGACGTCTATATCACTGACGGTCCTACCACTCTCATCTTCGCCTGCAAGACACAACCGTGCCCTAATCGCACACCTCGATCGATTGAGCAGGATTACGAGCACTATAAGGCCATCAGAAGGGCCCAACATCCGCTCGGTCCCCACAGCACCCACGCATCTTGATCTGCATCCCAGCACTCCCGCCCTGTCTCCCCCAGCTCCCGTCTTTCCCGACCGGTTGCCGGTCCAAGTCAAGCGCAAGGAGATATCCCTCCAGACCCTGCGCCAGAGCCTGAGCCTGAAGATAGTGCGAGTGAAGAAGGAGTCTCAGAGTCTGAGTCCGCGGATTCTGCTCGGCCCGCCTCGCCGAGAGCGCTCGCCCCCGCGTCAGCAGTCCCTGATGTACGTGACCCCGCCTCCGGGCTTCCTCCAGCACCTTCACCGCTGTCGCCACTGCGAGGCCGCTCGTGCACTCGCTCCCCTCGAAGTCCGACCAGCGGAGGGCCACCACAGCCGCCTCCGCCCCCGCGCTGTCCTCCGTCCCCCCCGCCGCCGATAATGTCCTCTCCCTCGACCGCCCCCGACAAGGAGACCTTGAAGCTCCTCCTCCCCCTCCGCTATGACGGAAAAACCGTCATCGAGTGCGACAGGTTCCTGTCGCAGCTGCGTATCTACTGGCTGGTCAACACGTCGTTGACCACCATCGAGCTCAAGGTGCAGGTTGCACTGAGCCTGCTCGACGGAGACGCCCACGCCTGGGCCACTCCCTACTTTTCCCAGCTCGCATCAGTGCAGATGGGTGTACAAGGGGCCACGACCCCTTTCAGGAATGAAGCAGCCTTTACCGCCGCCTTCAAGGCCCGCTTCAGCAATCTCGACGACAAGGCGGCAGCACAAGTAGAGTTGGCGAAGCTCTGCGCGGACAAGTCGGTCCGCGAAAAACACACCGCCGTGGAATTCTCCGCACTGTTCAAGGGTCCGGCGGATCATTCTGGGTATGGGGACCTGAAACTACGCGAGAAGTACCTGAGCAGCATCCCCTCACGCGTCTACCGCAAAATTGAGCTCGAGACCATCACCACGTGGCAAGAAGCTGAGAAGCGCGCCACTGAGGTTGAGCAGATTCTCGACATCAGCCAGGCCCGGCGGCCCGAGCTGAACAACTTCTTCTCAATCCGAGGTCGAGGACGCGGTGGGGCACGTGGTGGTGCACCTCGATCGCAAGGCGCTTCGGCCAGCATCAATGCGGCCGTCGGAAAAGGAGACTTTCCTGGCAGTTGCTTTGGCTGCGGGAAGCAAGGGTACCGTCGTTTCGAGTGCCCCAATTGTAAGGACAAGCCTTACACAAAACACGCCGACGCACGGGCTACGGTTGCCTCGGGTTCCACCCAGGTAGCGACAAGCGCCCCCGTCCCTTCACCCTCGGCAAGTATAAGTGCCGCTTCAGCAAAATCCGAGCAATCGGAGCTGGCGGACTTAATGGCACGGGTGAAGTCGATGCGCGAGGAGCTCGAGCATTATTGGGCAATGAAGGAGGAGGGTTTTTGATCCGGTCCGCGCTCCGTGCCGCACGCGTCGGGCCAAGTACATCTTGTAATAAGTATAATGTATTGTCAACTGCAATGGTGTATGAGTTGGACCAGGGATCCCAACATTTTCACATTCCAGTTCAACTCCAAGGGAAAAGACGGCACAAGGACGTAATCGCTATGGTGGACAGCGGAGCCACCACCAAGTTTATCAATAAGCGATTTATCATAGAGAATAAGGTGCAGACGCGGAGGCTGAAAGAGCCCATTCCGCTCTACAATATTGACGGCACCCTAAACAAAGACGGAAGCATCTCGGAAGTAGCCGTGCTACAGATGCAGATAGGAGAGCACGTCGAGAAGACGGTGTTTACGGTCACGGACATAGGTCCGGAAGATGTGATCGTTGGGTTGGATTGGCTACGCGAGCACAACCCCGAAATCAACTGGGAGGAAGGCTCCCTAAAGTTATCCCAATGCCCTGAAACGTGCAGTGCCAGGAGGACTGGCCGGATGGAGCAAGCAGCGACTGCACGTGATACGGGGGTCAGGCCCACGGCGCGCAGACGTTCGCCAAAGTCTAAACGGCCGGTCATAGGTGCCTGCCGGAGTAAGGTACTGCCGGACTTTGAACCCGAAGAAGATCCGGTAGAGGTTGAGTGGGACGAAGCCAACTTGATCGAGGCCTGGGAGCAAGGTATTACGCTTCCTGGCACCCCTCAGCTGTTCGTCGCAGCTGGGCATATGTACTCCCAGCTGTTCGCTGAGGAGGAGATCAAGAAGAAGGTTGTTAAGACTGCCGAGGAGTCGGTGCCTAAACAGTACCACGAGTTTCTGAAGGTCTTCTTGAAAGAAGCTTCGGAGCGTCTACCCGAAAGAAAGCCATACGATCATGCAATCGAACTTGTACCCGGCTACTCGACATTCCATTCGAAGGTCTACCCGCTATCGAACAACGAGCAAGAGGAGCTTGACAAGTTCCTAAAGGAGCAGCTGGCAAAGGGTTACATCCGGGAATCGAAGTCGCCCATCTCGTCTCCCTTCTTCTTCATCAAAAAGAAGGAAGGGACACTTCGACCTGTACAGGACTACCGCCGGTTGAACGCGATCACTGTCAAGAATCGCTACCCCTTGCCGCTGATCGCCGAGATGGTGGATAAGCTCCGCGGTGCCACGCTCTTCACCAAGTTCGATGTCAGATGGGGATATAACAATATCCGGATCAAGGCTGGTGATGAGTGGAAAGCCGCCTTTGTGACTAACCGGGGACTGTACGAACCCCTGGTGATGTTCTTCGGTCTCACCAACTCCCCCGCAACCTTCCAGGCAATGATGAATGACATCTTCCATGATCTCATCGTCGGCGGGAAGGTCCTCGTGTACCTGGATGACATACTCATCTTCTCCACCAATCGAGAGGAGCATGATAAGGTCACGCGCGAGGTCCTTCAACGCCTTCAGGATAATGATCTGTTCCTGAAGCCTGAGAAGTGCGAGTGGAACGTTCCCAAGGTGGACTACGTCAGCTATGTGTTTGGTGGTGATGAGGTAGCGATGGATCCCGCGAAGCTAAAAGGAATTAATGAGTGGCCGGTACCCCGGAACAAAAAAGACGTTCAGAAGTTCCGGGGGTTCTCCAACTTCTACTGCCGCTTCATTAAAGACTTCGCTAAGATCTTGCAACCACTCGACCGACTCACAGGGAATGACCCATGGCATTGGGGCGAAGAGGAGCAGCATGCCTTTGATGAGCTCAAGCAACTGTTCGCCACAACTCCAGTCTTAGTGTTGTATGATCCCAATCGAGAGACGCACATCGAGGTTGACGCCTCGGGTTATGCCACGAGTGGTGTATTGATGCAGAAGCAGGACGATGGCAAATGGCATCCCATTGCCTTCCGATCTCATGCTATGGACCCTGCCCAGCATAATTACGAGATCTACGATAAGGAGATGCTCGTGATCATCGAAGCGCTGGATGATTGGCACCATTATCTCGAGGGATTGCCCAATCAGTTCGAGATCATAACTGATCACAAGAACCTCGAGTACTGGTGCACGTCACAGCACCTCACGCGTCGTCAAGCGCGATGGTCGCTGTTCTTGGCTCGCTTCGACTTCCGCATCACGCACAAAGCTGGAACGTCAAATGGAAAGGCCAATGCCCTATCACGTCGATCAGATCACCAGGTCAGCGATGAGGACGATAACACCGATCAGGTGGTTCTCAGACCGGAAAGGTTCTGCATTGCCTCCGCCAGGCGCGGTCATGCCTCAGTGACAGCCGATCAGTCACTTCTGAAGCGCATCAGGGAGTGTTCGGAGAAGGATCGAGAGGTGGCTGAGGCACTCGAAAAGGTGCAGGATATCACAAAACCTACAAACCCACCTTATAGCTTGATATTGAGGGGGGGGAGATAATAGCACTTAAGTATGGGGAGGTAATGCTGTTAAGCGCAACAACGAAGTGAATAGAACTGGGGGACAGGGTGCCCCAGGATGCTGCCTTATATACATGAGGGAAAACCCCCCAGGGACCGGTAATGGACCCCTGGTACCTAGCTGGGTAAGGATTACTAAGTATCATGTGCCCTATGGTGCGATATGGTGTTATTGATGATGTCATAGTCTGGCCCTGCCCTGCCCTGGGCCTAGGGTCCAGAATTGACCGGCTATGGCCTAGTGCCTGAGCCTAGCTCCTACCTATGATGTCAGAATGATGTCATGGT